ATGAAGAAACAGCAAAGAAGGATTATAGTCAATGATAGTGTAGTACAAAATTACTATAAGAATTAGTTGCTTTTCAATGCAATATAACTTAGTTTATATATACGGACAATAAACTTCTTGCGAAGCTAGAGGCCAGTATTATATATTTTGCTAACAATGAAATTCTGATTAAGATTTACTTCAAACCCTTAAGCGAAGGACCAAGAATGCAGCTATGAAAGAATGGATCCGCAAAATGTCTTTGTTATTGCTGATGTGCAGATTAGGCTCTAACGATTCCCATCGTATACATCTAAGTTCTTTAGACATATCCGCTTGCAAAGTGTACGATACATTGCTCGAGATCTCTCTGGCCAAGCAAATTATGCACACAGGTCGAGTAAAAATCCGCAACGAGGCAATATTGTGAAATGGAAGACTGTTTGCCTGTCCCACTTATTTTACCTAACATCGCAACACCGGAAAATTTCTTACGAAGATAACCCCCGAATTATGCAGTAAGAGTGCAGTTAATTTTCGACATAGCGTAGCTACGCAAATATCATGAGCGGCCGTGCTTCAGAACCACGAGAGGTCGACTGTATATCGTTCAGCACGACGATCTCCATGTCTTTCCAGAAACTTGTGGAATTTTCTCATTCACGTCAACTTATACTTAGTGTCAAAGTCACGCCAACACTGCATGAATTCTTGCGCAAGTCGAATGACCGTGTTCAATGCACCCACTTAATATTCATTGCTCGTAAATACGGAAATGCTATCTACACAAACGGGATGGTTTTGACAGATTAAAAATTGATGTTTATTATCAAAAGCCTGCTCACTGACAACCAGAAAAGCCATTGCATAAACAGCACAAAACACTAAGGAAAAAGTCAGAGTTAAGTTTAGTTATGTAGTAACCACGAGACGAGGGAACGCAGCGCGAAGAGGCGAAAAACAGCAGAAAAAAAGAGATGGCCCTGTCTGAGCTTAACAAAGAAAAATTTAGTCAGGACAATTTTCAGAGAGCCGTCACTTGGCATCCGTTTGGGTGGCAGAAGGGCAGATAGATGTTCTACCAAAGACGCCTGCCTAGCGTCAACTGCAGCCAAAATCATTCTCTGACGATCGAATAAAATAGAGAGTAAAACGAAAA